ATAAATATTTTATAATGCTTTGAACAACAATTTTCAAAAATTTCAGTATGCTCCTAATGTTTGACTCAGGACACCAAAAAAATTAAAATGTTTTTATATTCCATAATTATGGCATACATTTCCAAAAAATGAGGAAGTTTAGGAGGCTAAACGCCATGTAGAATAGAAAATGTATAGACTGGAATAAGATAGACTTTGACTTGACTCTTGCTTGGGTGTATAATCTTTAGAAAGATTACCTAATCTTTCTTAACCTTTCAGAGCCTCAATTTCTTCATCTGTAAAAGGGAGAAAACAATGTTTACTTTTAAATAGTTGTGAAGATTATATGAGAGCGTACTTTTTATGTGCTTGGCCTTAATGTAAGTTACAACAGGAATAATTTACATTCACTCTATTTTAAAAATGGCAAATCAAGGATTTTCTTCATGAGATTGCTCCTCAGAGAGGCCCTGAGAATCAGGTGATTATAAAACTTTTTTCAAAAATAATTAATGTCACGTTACTTTGCATGGGTTTGTATTGCTGGATGGCACTCTGAAACAGAGCCCAGCAGAGGTGCTCTGAACAAAACCAAATCAAACAGAGTTGTGTTATCATCTAAAAGTCTCTAGTATTTACTGTATCATTTTTTGGCTTTTTATTTTCCTACTTTGGTGGATGGTTTGAAAATGCAGACAGGATTTGCTAGAATACGAATCCGAGAGAAATAAAAGTATTACCATTTCCAGTAAAAGCAAATAATCAGGAGGCTGAGGCACGATAATCACTTGAACCCAGGAAGGGGAGGTTGCAGCAGTCAGTCATGACTGTACCAGTGCACCCTAGCATGGGTGACAGAGTGAGACAGAGAGACAGAGCAAGAAAGAAAAGAAAGAAAAGAAAAGAAAGGAAAGAAGAAAGAAAGAAAAGAAAGAAAGAAGAAAGAAAGAAAGAAAGAAAGAGAGAGAGAGAGAGAGAGAAAGAAAGAAAGAAAGAAAGAAAGAAAGAAAGAAAGAAAGAAAGAAAGAAAGAAGGAAAGAAAAGGGAGGTTGCAGCAGTGAGTCAAGACTGTACCAATGCACCCTAGCATGGGTGACAGAGCGAGACAGACAGATAGACAAGGGGAAGGAAGGGAGGGGAGGGGAAGGAAGGGAGGGGAGGGGTGAGGAGGCGAGGGGAGGGGACGGGAGGGGACGGGAGGGGAGTGGAGCGGAGAAAGAAAAGAAGGAAGAAAGGAAAGAGAAAAGAAAACAAAAAAAGAAAGAAGAAAGAAAGAGAAAGAAAATAACTCCTCTCTTTTTTCTTCTTCACCTTTCTAGCCCATCATACAAATAAGCCCATTCTTCTGAGAGACACAGAATCTTGCTCTGTTGAGCACGCTGGAGTGCAGTGGCGCGATCTTGGCTCAGCTCACTGCAGCCTCCACCTCCCAGGTTTAAGTGATTCTCCTGCCTCAGCCTCCCAAGTAGCTGGGACTACAGCGGCACACCACCATGCCCAGCTAATTTTTGTATTTTTAGTAAAGATGGGGTTTCACCATGTTGGCCAGGCTGGTCTCAAACTCCTGACCTCAAGTGATCTATCCACTTTGGCCTCCCAAAGTGCTGGGATTACAGGCATGAGCTACTGCACCCAGCCACTTCAATAATTATTCTTGACAGAGAATTTTTTAGCAAACACAAAAAATGTAAAGAGAATATAATGAACACCCTCACATAACCATCACTCAAACCCAATAATCAAGACTTTGTCACACTTGATTAACCTTGATAGAGAACATTAAATCATTGCATTAACCAAGACCTCTTATTATTAGCCATCTGCTAGGGCTGGAGAAGAGATTACCTAAATTTCATTTAAACTTGGTTGTATGGTACTTTTAAAAACTTACCATAAGTAGAGGCAGGCACAGTGGCTCACACCTGTAATCTTAGCACTTTGGGAGGCTGAGGCGGGCGATCACCTGAGGTCAGAAGTTCAAGACCAGCCTGGCCAACATGGCGAAACCCCATCTCTACTAAAAATACAAAAATTAGCCAGCCATAGGGGTACAAGCCTGTAATCCCAGCTACTCAGGAGGCTGAGGCAGGAGAATTGCTTGAACCCAGGAGGCGGTGACTGCAGTGAGCCAAGATCATGCCACTGCACTGCAGCCTGAGCAACAGAGTGAGACTCCATCTCAAAAAAGAAAAAAAAAAATTATAAGTAGAAATAAAAGGAAGTGCTCCCTAAATAAGACTCTAGTAGAATGAATCATTATGAAAATACAAAACTATTTTTGTTTTTATTCTCTCACCAGCTCCAGGACTGAACTCCATGATAGTAATAGTGCAAAATCCACTGTATTGCCTGAACATAACATGCAGCTTGATCAGCCAGAAAGTCACTGAAAATAGAATATTTTCATTATAACATATTTTTTGAAGACAGGGCAGTGTCTTTAAGCATGATATCTGCTGATACATTTTACCTCAGATAGTTTAATCAATGAATTAGCTATTTATAGCCAAAAATTATAATCCTAAAAACTCCAAAATATTTTCAAAAATTCCACCCTGTCACATTATAGTTTTCCTAAACCAACTATCAAAATAGATAAACCTGTTATTCATATTTATTCAGTTAATGTACCACTTCTTTGGTCCAAAGTTTGAAGATTTACCCAATAAAGCTTTCCATAGCAACACCACCACTCTCTTAAACAGTGGGGGTGAGATGAGAGAAAGGGATGGGAATCTTCTTTATATAGGATGATATCTGAGAGAAGAAAAGGAGCAAATCAGGAAGATCTTAAAATTTGGTTCCAGCAGCTAGAACACTTTGAGAAGTGCTATATGTGAACAATATTCCCTTGAATCCTTTCTTTCTCAAAAATCAAATGACATCTTCTAAGTTTGGGTAAAATAAGTCTTCAAGTCACCAAAAACCAAAACAGAGCCCTGGGCTAAAGGCCAAAGTATTTACGTAGAAATTCCATAACTACATATTTCTGAGAGGTACTTTTTTAACATGAAAAATATTGCTTTTTTATTATAAAAGAACTATTTCCTCATGGGTAAAAACCTGGGTAATGAAGAAAAGCATTTTTTTCACCTTATAGCCATCACTTTTACATTTTGTAGTGTTTCTTTCAATCTTTCTTCAACATCTAGGTTTTTTTAAGTGTTAATGAGAGCATACTGTATACATGATTTTATGTCCTGCCTTTACAATTTGTACTTAATAATATACTATAAGCATCTTTTGAAATTGTTATGAACTTTCTGCAAGTACCAGTTACAGTTCTGCAGATTCTGGAGATGGAAGAGGTGACAGAGATAGTGACTGCAATGATGGGGTCGTGGCCAATTATGACGAACCTTCATGCTGGACATTTAGATCATTTATAATTTTTTACTATTATAAACAACTTTGTAATAAACTTCCTTATAAATAAGGATCATTTTCTCTTTAGCAATTTTTTCACAGGAATATAATACAAGTCAGAATTAATACAATCCTTTCCCAAACCAGACTAGTTGAAACATCTACAATAATTCATGAAACCAAAAAATCCTTTTTCTCCCACTGCTTTATCAAAATTATGCTGTTTTCTGAAGAACTGCAAAATCTGAATTTTTTTATTTTAAAATAAATGCATTGGCAAAAACGTACTCAGATACTACATCAACCCCCATCTTCGTCATGTAATATGTTCTCTTATATTGTCTAAACTCAGTTTCAAATAGGTCATCATCTTCAGTCTCATCTTCTAAATTATCTGGGAAAAAAGCCAGAAAGATAGTGACTGACAATTATGAATATCCTGTTTTTCCACCTAATGATTTGATAAATGCATATCCAAGTTGATGCTTATAAGCTATCACAAAAATCTGTTCCGCCCAAAATTAATACTAATAAAGGAAAGGTATAACATTATCCTGTCAAAGTAGTAACATATCAAAACACATACTTTGTACTTACCCTTAGAAGTTACCATTTCGCCTTCATTTTTGTCTAAAGCAGCCCAACACAGAGAATTTTCCTGGCCCTATAAATTGTAAATCAACATAAATGAATGGTAAGATACACATTTCAAAGTGAGATGTCATTTCTTTTTCATGCACCCATTTGCTTTTCTTCCCATAGTTCTTCCATGGTTATAACAGCCTTCATATCCTGCCCATCTGTTTTTCCTCCCTTGTGATCTCAATCCTTTCTCTCCTCTATTCTCTGACTTCCTGACGACTGCCAATGACTCTCGTTAGTTCTTCGTACTCCTTTATCTGCATTTCCTTTCCTTCATCCAACCTATGACCTCTACCAACTTCCTATGTCTGGGCTATTCCTGCACAGCGTCTCTAATGTTAGCTGCATACTATCCTGACAACTATCAGGGGAGCCAGGGATTACTGACAGGTAAGTTTTGTGTGTACAGGTTCCCAAAAAGTTGCAGAGCCTGTTTTCCTAGAAACAAACAAACAAACAACAACAAAACAGTAGAATGCAGACTGACTGCTGCCAAGTTCCAGTGAGGAAGAGCTAAGTATCAAGAAGGACTACACTAGAGAAAATAAGGATAGTTGCCCCTCCTGGAGCAAGAGTCATTAAGTTTGAACCTAAACAGAGCCAGTACAGCAAGGAGAGTAAGAAACTCAACAGAATCCAATAATTATGAAGAGGCTGAGGAATTTTTCACAAGAGGTTTACCTTTCAAGTTAACACAAGATATTCTTTGGAGATTATTAGAGATGATTTGCAGGGCACTAACACGTTCTAGTTGATTCTATTATTCACTAATTAGGCATGTAACATTTACTAGATATTGTGCTATTAGGTTGGTGCAAAAGTAACTGTGGTTTTTGCCATTACTATTAACTTAAATTATTGTATTTTATATGTAAATCATTTCTAGAGAAAAAAATCACTGATCTAGTTAATGTCTCGTATCTTTAAAGGCTATAAATATCCACATTTTAAAAACTAGTCCATTGTTTTAAAATAACTTTTTTTTTTTTTTTTAATTAAAAAAACATTGCCAGGGGAAAGCGTGAATGCAGTCCTCCTCTACCATGAATCATGCAGTTGAGTTTCCCACACTTGGTGAAATCGCAGGACATCAGCCCATCCACAGTGCAATGGAAAAGCCTCACTCTGGGAAAACCACCTCATGATCATGGTATCTCCCTTTTCAGGTTTTAAATAATTGTGTGTGTGTGTGCGTGTGGTTTTTTTTTTTTTTTTTTTTTTTTGAGACAAGAGTCTCACTCTATCACCCAAGATGGAGTGCAGTGGCCCAATCTTGGCTCACTGCAACTTCTGTCTCCTGGGTTCAGGTGATTCTTATGCCTCAGCCTCCGAAGCAGCTGGGATTACAGGTGTGTGCCACTACACCCAGCTAATTTTTATATTTTTAGTAGAGATGGGAGTTTTGATGTTAAGAAGTAGTAGTAGAGATGCTGGCCAGGCTGGTCTCAAACTCCTGACCTCAGATAATCCACCCACCTTCACCTCCCAAGGTGCTGGGATTACAGGTGTGAGCTACTGCACCCGGCCTTAAATAATTGTTTTTAACATGTTTTAAATAATTGTTTTTAAAAGATAATTCATTTTCTGGGCTTTTATGTTTAGAAAGGTTTTCCACGTTTATTAACATAAAACACAATATTCCTCTTCAACAGTAAAAATAAGAAACTGATTACTGAAAATCTGGTTTAAATGACAGAAGCTAACAAAAAAAAAGAAACCAAACCAATTTCTTAAATGCCTATAGAGAGGAAGAAAGAGAAATAAAATGAGGCAATCCCAAATCATAAAAAGTAAGATGAGAAACAAAGAATATCACTTTTGCCTTTACAATTAAAACAATGAAAGGATACCTAAAAAAATAGACACCTTTAATTTTTTCTTTTCCTTGTAGTTCCTGGCTTCTTCTGCTGCCACACCTGCTGCTTCGTTGAGGTACTTGTTACCAACTTTGCTTTCAAACCATTTTAGGTCCACAAAAACTTCACTGAAGTGCTCCCGATCAAACTGTATAGAAATATTTAAATTTATTCAAAAATAATTTAAATATATCTAGAAGAATACAAATCAAACTTATAACAGTGACTACTACTGGGGCATAGGAAATTCTTTTATATATATGGGGGACCTCATGTGTTACTGTGAAAATACAAATAGAAAACAAATAAAAATAAAATTAATTTAGTAAAAGTATTCATACTGAATCAGCAACTGGAATAGAATTATAAAACCCTTTTCTTCTGGTATTACATAATTCATGACTGACCTTTTATAGCTACTCTGGGACAGGAAAACAAAAATTTCTAGTTACTTACATCTGATAGCTTCACAAGGTATTTCTCAAATCTAGGTAAGTTGAGATGCCCACTTTCATTAATATAACCTAAGAGAAACAAAAATTAAAATCTGTACTAAAAGCTGACATTTTTTCTAAACAATTCTACAAAATTCTTTTTACAAAATGTTGAATGTTCATGTTCTACTGTAGTAATCAAGAACAAACAGTGTTGGACTATATACAAACTGGCCCTAGTTTCTATGAATTTTATGCTACTATAAATATGCAACATTCAAGTACCAAAGCCAAGTACAAGAAATTCAAGGTTCACAGAATAATACTCCAACAACATTTGGTAACAATTAATTACATTAAATATGATCTATAATCTATATAGATCATTCAATTTGATTTGTTAATTTAAGGACTGATGGCCTGCTACCCTGTGGCCTCTTTTATTCAGCATCACTGTTTGTCAATTTTCTGTTTTCATTGAAAAATAATTCATATTAAACATTCTGATGTATATCCATTAAAGAAATTGAATTTCTATGCTTAAATATGAAAGGAGTTAAGTGAAACCAGTAAAGTATGGTGGCTTTCTTAAGGAATTAAAGGCAAAGATTAGGCTGTGTATGGTGGCTCAAGCCTGTAATCCCAGCACTTTGGGAAGCTGAGGTACGGGAATCACTTGAGGCCAGAAGTTTGAGACCAGCCTGGTCAGTATGGTAAAACCCCATCTCCACTAAAAATATAGAACTTAGCCGGGTGTGGTGGCACACGCCTGTAATCCCAGCTACTCAGGAGGCTGAGGGACAGGAATAGCTTGAACTCAGCAGGCAGAGGTTGCACTGTCGCCGAGGCACTCTAGCCTGGGCGACAGTGAGACCTTGTCTCAAAAAGAAAAAAGTGAAAAAAAAATAAAGGCAAAGATTAGTTAGGTGTCAGTAAGTAAGGTTCATTAACTCTGTGTACTTTCTTTCCTTGTGAATCGCTGAAAATAACAACCTTGGAGGTTAGCACCTTAGACCAAAATAAATCCTCAATGTTTTTCTACTTAAGCCGTGCATGCAATAATCTACTAAACTAAGTCACATTTTTAGGGTAAGGAGGCACTAAATTAAAGTATCCTTGAGTGATTATTAAGTTTTTCTTACCCCCAAGTTCTGGCAGGATGGTGATATATGTTCCATAAAGAAGTGGCAGTGCATCATGATTAATATGTAAATGAGGTAGATGAGGGATAAAATCATTACCAACAAGAAACCCCATCAAAATCCAATCATCTATTATCCTTTCAATATCATATTTAAATGTGATCTTTTCCTACAGTAAAATGGAGAACAAAGTCAAATCCAGTGAAAATTTCTGCAATGGAAATCCCTAGTTCATGGCTTTATTAATACTTACTTTTAATACTGAAAACTCATAGTCAATATACTCTCTCATTAAAGACAAGTGTAGGAGGTGAAATGTGGTTTCTTCTGGAGCACATACCCTGTAATTAATCAGATGATCAAGATATAGTGAATTGTATTTTTAAGGTCTCACCTTAAAAACGTACCAAACTTAAGCCAAAATTATCATTAGAAGATAGTCAGATAAATGCCTTGCAATTAAGGCATACAATTTATACGAAAGTTTCAGGGTAACAAAGATAAAAATACAATTGCAAATATCCACATGCAAAAGAATGAAGCTGAACCCTTACGTTACACCACACACTAACATTAACTCGAAATGAATCAAAGATCTAACCATAAAAGTTAAAACTTTAAAACTCTTTTAAAAAATAGATGAATTGGACTATAACAAAATTAAAAACTTTTATACATCAAAGGACACTATCATGAAAAGACATCATGAAAAGGCAACGTATGGAATAAGAGAAAGTATTTACAAATCACGTTATCTGTTAAAGAATTACTATCCATGCCTAGTTTCTGTTCTTTCTTCCAACGTATATGCTATATGATTTACCTTTGTGTTTTTTTGCCACCAAATCGAACTTCTTCTCTTAAGAGAGAAAAATGTGCCTCATGACTTGTTAATCCAAGCATAATCTGTTGAAAAATGATTAAGAAATGTTTCTCCCATTTTTTATAATGTTGAGTTCACAAAAGCAATTAAAAAACACTTATACAGGGAAAAATAAGAAAGAATTAGGTTAAACAGACAAATATCAAAATATGATCTATTTGTAGGTTATGAATGAGATAAAGTGTACTTTTCTAAGAAAAATTTATTCACCTTAGCTCACGTGCCTTTCATAATCATTATCCTACCTCCTATCTCCACTCCTCTTCCTATTCTCTCAAATCCCAAAAATCTTCTCTTGGTTTTCACATGATTCTACTTGCTGTGGGGGAATGGGTCAGAAATTAGAGGAAGCAGCTTTTCCGTGACCAAAGAATGCAGGACTCTTTTGGATACCAGGATAGCCCCACTATATGAAAACTCAGAAAAAAATGGAAAAGGGCACTTTCAGTTAATTTTTTCAAACAGTATTCCCTTTTTTTTTTGAGATGGAGTCTCCCTCTGTCACCCAAGCTGGAGTGTAGTGGTACAATCTTGGCTCACTGCAACCTCCTTCCCCCAGGTTCAAGTAATTCTCCTGCCTCAGCCTCCTGAGTAGCTGGGATTACAGGTACCCCACAACATGCCTGGCTAATTTTTGTATTTTTTAGTAGAGATAGGGTTTCACCATTTTGGCCAAGCTGGTCTTGAGCTCCTGACCTTAGATCATCCGGCCACCTCAACTTCCCAAAGAGCTGGGATGACAGGCATGTGCCACTATGCCTGGCCTCTCATGTAGTATTTTAATACTCAAAGTAAGTCAACAGTCTATTGAGACCTATCAATCAAATGCCATGTACTTGCATACTGTTTATTTCAATCTTGATTCAAACAATAAAAAAAATGAAACGTTTGTGAGGCAATCAGGAAAATGATAATACTAACTGGTTATTTCTATATTAAGAAAAAGTTGTTAATTTCTGTTTTAGGTGAGATGATGGCATTGTAGTTATGTATCTTTTCTAAAAAAACACTCTAATCTTTTAGAGAAACATTATGAAATATATATAAATTAAATGATACAATGTTTGGGATTTGCTTTAATAATCTGGGGGAGGGAGCGGGTAGGAGAGAGAGGAGACAGATGATTACAGGTAGAAATTTAGAATTATTTAAGTTAAATGAAGGACATAGGATGCTCATTATATTACTTTTTCTATTTTTGTTTATGCTTGAAAATTTGCATAATAAAAAGTTAAGGCCAAAATAGTCTATTAAAGGTATTTGGAACATGGCATTTTCAGATCAGGAGTTATTAAAAACCTTGTATTAAGTCTGAGTGTAAAAAGGCAGCCTCACTTCTCTGACTTTGGCAAAGTATTCACAGCACTAGGATTAGTCACATCTGTAGACTAATTATAGAGATCTGTTGGTCATAAACTATGGCTAAAAAGCTAATTTTCCAATGATTTTTAGAACTTTGGTAATGACAGAAGCAGCAATCATTATGTCTTCAATATTTGTTGCCACAGCCAGTAAGTTTCTTGTATAAAATGAAATCTCTTTGATATTTACCTACCAATGCATAAGGTTTTAATAATAAATATTATACCTACCAAGTCGGCATCTAAACCATAAAGACAGTGTCTGGTGTTTGGATCGTGATCTGGCTTTGCCTTCTCGGATCTGATAAATTCCATAATTTTATGCTCTCCTTCTCCGGGAGTCTAAATAAAATGTTTTTAAAAGTACAGTAATATTGTATGCTTGAGAATATTAAATAATATTTTAAAACTCTTTAACTAAAAAAAGATAATAACCTCATGGCCTGAGAAGTAGATGGTAACTCCTTGCCATGACTTGTCCGTGGAAATTTTCATATTTAC